CTTCTCCTATGATGTGGTCTCTCATTCTGTTTTTCCACCAGGAGTAGTACTGGCCATTGAAGAGTGGTGGCCTAGCAGTGGATTGCCCTTCCCAGTTTCCAGGTGGTGCACTCATCTTGATCTTCTCCTAAGGTGTTAGCCTCTTCAAGGATAACCTGCTCTTATACCAATTGATGTTTTAACTTCAATACCACACAAGAGAGGGGGGGGGGAATAATTTGTGTGGTGTCTAATTTTTGCGTGCACAGATTATAGAAGGACCTGGTTCTTCTATGTGTTCCTTATACTACTGTTGCGGAATAATAAATGCAGAAATTAAAGAACACAAGGATTTTTACGTGGAAAACACCTGGCTCAAAAGGTGAAAAAATCACGACCTACTTCCCAGTAGGATTTTTTCAAACTCTCCACTAAATCACTGAGCCAAAAACTACATTTACAAAATATTTTTGTAAACCTAGGATTAACTCTAATCCCGTTGTGGCAACCAGCCTCTAACTGCTGCGACAACTTCAAGTTAACTCTAACTTGAATACTCTGAGTACCTATTACAATTGCCTCTAGATAAAGCTGAAAGGTACAATATGAAAACACCTACTACAATTGAACTAGAATAAAAGACAGACACTTGGAACTGGTTCTTCTATCTGGTTCATGTAGCTTCAGGTTCGCACACTTGAATCACACACGAACTGCTTGCAAAATGCCTTGCTATTTTGCTCTCAATTCACGTTTAACTTCTGCTTTTGTGTGTCACCTGTAGAATGAGAACTTGCTGCGATTTATAGAGTTAGTAGAGTAGAAAACAACTAGAGTTCCAATGCTACTCTTCCTTGGTGGAAGAGTTCTAGTTGATCTCAACTTCTAACTCCTCCCTTATCTTGGATAGTGTTCTCTTTGATTAAGGGGTCCTTCTCCTTATCAATTATGTAACCCTTTTCGATCAGGAGATATTAATTAGACCAAGTTAATCTTATCTCCTTCACGTGCATCCCACATGTTCGAATCTGCTCGTATTTATGCACACAAGGGATGGACCTGATTCATGCTTGAGCTTTCTTTGTCAATTTTCAAAATTAATCTTCACTTGGACCAACAGATATGTTGTTGTTGTTGTTGTGAAAATTTAAGTAGATGACTATTGTTAGGCCTATGTCAAATACAACCCATTGACTCAGTGTGTCAACATCTTTTTTCTCGTTGCATCCAAAATTTGGAATGGTGGAAAATATTACTACTAATTGCTAGTAGTTGCACTGCTGGGAAACTATCCACGTATTATGAAGATATTGGCTGTTTTTAATTTTCTTATTCTGCCATGTAAAATACGTGCGCCCCAAAGGATGTAAAATAGCATAATTTCATGAATTTAATTAAAAAAAGGAAAATAAAAATTTTGTTGTTTGAGTTATTGTTATATTTCTAATTTAGTACTTGTGTCATTCAGTTGAGTATTCTTGAGTTTCAATTAATCTAAACATGCGATTATGCTCTCTAAAACTAAGAAACATTCAAAATTTACTAGAATCATCATTAGAAAACCAGAATCATATAACGTCAAATAGGGGCATAAGAAATTAGATTGAATCTCGTCAAGTCAACTTAGTCTTTTTTCAATTGGCCAATAACAAGTCTTGTCAGTTCATGCAATAAGTCCTAGGTGAGCTCAGGTTAGCCTATCAGGGTGGATGCAACTTCTTTTTTTTTCTAAAGCATCAAAGTTCCCAGCTGCTGAAGTATAGCATTGAGGTGAGAATACGTGTTTTTTTCTGAACTACTTTTTCTTTCTCTCTGCTATCACATCCATTGAACTGTTTGTATCAAGACAAGTTCGGAATGTTGATTGAGCGTGGACTAATTTGTTCGGACAATCGCATACTTTCTAAAGTGAAGGACAATCACTTGAATAAAAGTAGTTGACATAATAACTGCATTTGGCTATAGCGTTATTTCGTTTTAAATTATTTATTTTTTTAAAAAATTATTCACTATACTCCATTTGAGAAGACTTATTACTTTATTATTAGGACGAAGGCTAAATAGGGAAGCTATTGCAAACTTAATCCCCTCATCATTTTGTAACCGGAAAATGAAGACACTGTTTTGGCGGTGTCCCTCCAAAGAGAAGACTGTTGACGAATCCTATAAATACCACGTCTTCTTCATAACTAGGAATTAGGGTTCATAAATTCTCTACCAGTAGAACTCTTCTGCTTCTAAACCTAGACGAACTCTGAAATTCAAAATACTCTGAAATCGCACGCATACGGTATTCGCATTCAAAGTTCGAAGCACATTCACGAATCTGCTTGAATGAATTCGCATCTCCTTTGAGGTTCTCTTCTCAATTGATTGAATTTATCGTAAATTTCCGCGTTAATGTCTCATTTTCATATATGTTATCCGATTTTTGCGCCTCTGTTCTGATTCAGTAAAGTTTTAACATTTGGCGAGAGGTCAAACTCAAAACTCAAATCTCAAAAGTGAGCGAACTGATTTTAGGTTTTAATATGTTCATTTGACATTCTATCTTGTTATTAAATCAGTTAATTTTTTTGAATTTTATGTGCTTCTGAATTGTGATCGCTAGAATTCCGATGAATTTTTCACGGTTGATTAGAAAAACCCAGATCTTACTGAGGTTCTCTTCTTAATTAAGTATTTATCCTAAATTTCCGAATGAATTTATTATTCTCATGTATATTATCTGATATTCCGACTCCATTTCTTCTACCAATAAAGTTTGGAAATTTGGCGGGAGCTGATACTCAAAAATCGAGATCGAAAGTCAGAGCGATCAAACTTTAGTGTAAAGATGTTTAATTAATACTGTTCGATTTAAATTAGGGTTTTATTGTATATTATATGCTTGTGGTTTGTGATTGCAGAAGAATTTGAGGAAAGTATGGATTTTTTCTACGGTAACAGTAACGATTCGCAAGCTTCCAAAGTCCAGTCCTTGGATGTTTCACCAATCAACTCTCAAAACTTCATCGGCCGTGGCCGTTTTTATCCTGGACCAAAAACTCGGATCCTCAATCCTTACGCTTCTTCAGATAGTTCTGGTAGTTCTTCCAATAGAGTACTCTCTCCGCTAGCCCGATACCTTCATTCCAGCTCACCGGTGTCGTTTGCCAGCGATTCGCCGGAGCGTCGTTCTCTGGTCAATACTAGCAGCGGAAGCAGAAGCGGTTCCGGCGGCGGCGGCGTTTTCCGTTCGCCTCTAGCTTCGATTGAGAACATCGAGATTCCGACGGCGTTCAGGACTCCGGTGAAAGTCGAAGAGGATGTGGTAGTCATGGACGGCATTCTCGTTGAGCCGAAACATGGCGCAAGAGCTAAATCGTTGCCGTCAACGTCAGATTCCGGCGGAAGGTTGTCGTCGTCAACATCAGGAAGTGAAAATAGCTCTCACAAGTCGGAAGTTTGTCGGTGGTGGGGTGATACCGGCACGTGCCGCTTTGGTTCCAAATGCCGGGTCTCTCTCTTCTCTTTCTTCTCTCTCTCTCTTTCTCAAAAGAATATGATCCAATGCTTCTGGAATATTCGTGCACTCATTGTACGGTTGAGATCAACTTTCTAGTTTTGACATTGATCTCAACCACAAATTTTCTCATTAGTCAACTTTACTAAAATCCACAACTCAAAACATCTATCGCTTCAATTAAACAGTTTGTACACGGAAAAGAAGATTTACGCCCAACTGCTTTCGCCAACAGGAATCATTCTGAGGTATTAACAATTTAGCTAATTGTATTTACCGCTGAATTTATCTTTTTTAGGATTATAACGTATCAATTAAAGTTCATTGTGAAAATTCATTGTGATCATCGTCACATGGTTATGTTTGTAGGCACTGAGCAGCAGGTCATACAGTTCAGGATCACGTGCATATGGACCGAGGGGCCGATCTGTTCATCACCAGGTCCACTCAGCCGCATCTTCAACAGAATCAGCAGCAATGGCCACGCCTACTACTGTTAAAAAAGTCGTGTCTACTAAAGACAAAGAGCCCCCAAGCAGCGACAGTAGCCCCAGTTCCACCACCTCCACAATTGTTATCTCTGGCACTGACTGGTCTCCCCTGGATGATAATATCGAGGTTTCTTTGCCTTCTTCTGGTGAAAAATGTCCTTCCAGGGAAGATGTTAATGCTCATATACAGACTGTTCTCTATGGTCTTTCTGGAAGGAAGAGATTGCCGGTATTTGTTGAATTTTCTGAGGAGTAGCTGTGCCATATTCCCAAGTCTCTCTTCTTACCATCAACTACCAATAAGGTAATCAAGAGCTGTTAGTTACTTCCGTCGTGTTCAAAAGTGTTGTAATTGCTTTTGCTGCGCTGCAGATTAGACAATTCCAGGAGTAGTACTATCATAACAAAGACAATATACTGTCAAATAATATCTAGGATTTGAATAGACAATTGGACGTGGATCATACAACATAGAATTGCTGAGTGTTTGGCTGATACAGAATAAAACAGGGAACATACCAATAGTTGATCTGAAGTGCAGGGCTGCAGGGGTCTGGCCCCAAATGATCTCAGTTTACCCAAATCAAGATGTTCGATATTCTTGTTTGTGAATTTGCTTCCTGTGTTGAGTTTTTGTATGAAAAATCAACAGAACATCACCTACATATTGCAGCTGATAGTTCCTGAATACTCTGAGAACTGTTTGATTTAAGGCAATTAGGTTCAAATTTACCAATAAATGAAAGTGAGATGCTGTGTTTTAGAAAGAAAAAAAAGGAAAGATAGTTGCTTTTTCAATACATCCATCAGCTGAGAGGTACTAAATTTGCCCTGATCCTTTCAAGATTGTTTTTAGGTATAACTTCACAACTGTACAATTTCTTTTGTTATGCTAGTATTTTTCATTTCACACAGTAAACAGGTGAGAGAAATAACTTGCTCGAGGTACAGGAAAACACTAGACTCAAATTCGTAATAAAGTATTCAAATTGTGACGTGTTGACTATATAAGAGAGCAAGGATTTAAGTTCTATTCGAATTGTGATATCTTGACCATTTAAATGTCTTAGCAGAAACTTATCGTGCTCTATTAGTGCAAGTTAGTTTATTGGCAATAACAGCTATCTTTAATGTGATCCTTCGAAGTTTCTTATGTTTGCCTTGGTTTTAGTCAATCAATGAATACAACAACAACTCACTATAATCTCATTAGTGGGGTCTGGGGAGGATAGTGTATACACAGACCTTACCCCTACCCTGGGGTAGAGAGGTTGTTTCCGATAGAAACTCGGCCCCCTCCCTCCAAGAACTCTCCACCTTGCTCTTGGGGTGACTCGAACTCACAACCTCTTAGTGAATTCGAGTCACCCCAAGAGCAACCCACTCCTGTAGTCAATCTATGAATAGGCATTTGAATTTCGCTGCTGTGCGTAGCAAGTTAACGTATCCTTTTAAGGAATATCATTCTCATCTGTTTAATAATTTGTTATGAACCTGAATCTCCACTCACATCTACCAATTAGATTGGTATGGCTCAACAAATTTTTACCGTGATGGGGTGATTGCAAGTGGGGAAGGAAGTCTGGACGTTGGTTTTCGCTAGTGCTGGGTGGTAGGAGAAAGAGGAGTTGATGTTTTTATTTTCCCATTTTTCTCTGCGTCGAGATTTCTAAATTTAATCTACGAAAATAACCTGAATTTTTACCACAGTAAAATAGCATGGCACTTTATGTCACCAAATTGGCTGAAATGATTTTTTTTTAGGTTCAGGCAACTACAAAATAATTAAATGATTTAGTAGTTGCATACTATAATTTAAAGGAAAACATTGGATGTTTAGAAGATATGAGGATCTCCAGTAGCCAATTGCTAATACTTATTACTAACTAGTTTCTGAATCCAAATTATTTTTATAAAAATTAGATAAAATATAATAAATTTAAATTACATACGTATTGCTCAAATAATATTGTTGATATGCTATTAGAAATTATACATATTAAAAGTTATAGCTCATTTGAATGAGAATATATGATCATATCTCAAATTCAAAGTAAATCAAATTCAAAATAATTGAATAACATTCTCTATCTGAAAAGATGAACCATTACATTAACTTAGTTTATTATTTATAATCACATTATTTTAGTTTATGAGTGAGGTAAAAATATGTCACTTGGTCGCGACTACCCAACATTTCCTCATATACAATGTGTATATTCGATTACATTACTTTAGTTGGTTTTTTTCATTATTGTGTAGCTACAATATCAAATAGCTCATTTGTTATTCTCTGTCCCTTTTAATGATCGTCTTAGTTGATCTTTTACGGGTGTAGTGAAGAGGAAAAATTGGTTATAAGATTATGTTATTATCTCGAAAGCAAGAAAACTAAAGCAAAACATAAATTTTATAAATTAGTCATCAGCAAACCAAAAATTCACTTTTAAAAGTACAATATTGCAAGAAGTTCCACCTTGTGTACCAAACATGAGAGGATTATAATGACAAGAGATTCGAATTTAAAAAGTACATTTAATATCAAATTAACTATAAGATAGTCGGATGTATATGACGAGATACTTTTTACAATACAAACTACACAATCAAATAAGAAATTATCCAGAAAAAAGAATTTCAAAAGCTGAGCCAAAGAATAAAGATTCAAGTTAGAAAGACGCACACCTCATTTGTGTTGATGCCCATCACAGTAAAAGCTAGCCGAGAGGTCTATTCAATTGTCTACAAAAACATCACGTGAATCCATTTTTCCCCGAAAACGAAAATCTCATGATCACGAACTTGATGAAAATAAAACTCTACCAACTTATTTCATGTGGTAGACCAAACTCTTAAACTAAGTAAGAAGCAAAAAATGAAAAAATAAATGAAAAGGAAAACATGCGCGAGAAGAAAAATTATTCTCTGCTATCCAAACAAAAAAATCACCCAAAAGCAACAATTGGATTCAATATATCCTCGTAAAGTAGTTCAGAAACAGATTTAAGGCACTCAACCAATGTTAAAAAGTTCATTCTCACCGGAAAGGAAAAGAGCTCAGCTCGGTGAATTTATCGCCCACTTCTTACACAATATCTATATATATTTGTACTGTATTTATTGAAAACAAACAAAATTATACTTTAAAAAAAGGTTAATAATCATGTGTCTGAAGGGAGAAGAATAATTCAATTTACATCAATAAAAAGCAAATAATTTTGAATTATGTGAATAGAATTTGGTCAAGAAAATAGAAAACTCACTTTTATTTTTCCAGCATATTAGATTTGTGCCAAAAGCATTGCATCATATAGCCCTGATATTACTCGTTCTTGAAAGTAACGGAATTAAGAATTCTATCAAAGGTAGTCGAACATTAATCTTTTCGGCTATGCTATTGCCACCAAATTTTTAAGACATTCATCTTATAACATGACTTTTTTCCGATGAAATCTTCAAATAAATTGGCTTATCAGAAAAAGTCAATTGCAATAACTGAAAGGAGAGAGATAAATTGAGGGAAACGAATAGACATGCAACATGCAGAATACAAAAGATGTTAGTTCATGAATGTATTAATTAATTTATGAACATAAGTGATGGGATTAATGTCCTTTCATTTGCTGTCAGGTTTAGATTAACCGAGATGATATTGAAATTCATATCAGTTAAACTAAAAAAATAGAGTACAAATAGCAATTGAAGAGACATTATATGAAGAGTACGTTTTTGTACAAAGGAAGACTATTCAGATAGAATTTGCATTGAAGAGAATTTGGTTCATATTATATTATTAATTGTAACTCCTCAAATTCTTAACTTATTGCTGGTTGCTTTTTCGTGTATCAACATTCCATGAGTGTTTTGGTAGGGTGGAACAAATTTATCATTTATTATACAGTAAATTTACTTTTTAATATAAAATTATTATAAAAATATTATTTAAGAAAAGGGTAAAATTGTCACTTAGTTTTAATTGGGTAATATAATAATTCAACTTTCACTTTTGATCTTCCCACTTATAATAAAGTACGATGGTACGATGATGTTTAGATTAAGATTAAGGATTCATTGCTCTGGTTTAAGCTGAATGCCTATATTTTCCTCTCCTTTTTCTTTGCCCTTTTAGAATTCTAATGGGAGGAGTGGGCTCATGAACAAGGAAACGCTGATGGAAGCAGAGGGAAAAAACATTCTTAAAATTTGAACATTACATTTAATTAATGTAAAGAGCGGAGTTACAATCATTAGACTGTAATCCTAATTCTTGAAATTTCTCTTTTTTGACTCTCATTTCTATGGTAAAACAGCGACCTTCTAATATACCAGACAAGAAGAAGTCCCCTATGGTCGGACACCAACATCTTATTGGTTACAAAATTTTCTTTGGATAAAGGATATTTGGAGCTATCCACAATCAATATTGTATACGGTCAAAATAAATTTGGTATGTCTGGTACGGTTCGAAGGGTGATATATCGAAGTAAGATCCCGAGGGGGAGCACGAACTAATCTAGAGCCTGGGAAAGCCGGTCCGTGTTGAGATCGATATCATAATCAAACTCGAACAAGAATCGAACCATGGCGCGGGTAGATCTATCGTGCAGATAATCCAAAAACCAACCTACATCGACCAGGAATCCGTTCGAGGGCTCGAACCGGGATCGAGCTCAAGTCAAGATCACAAGTTCGAGCCGAAATCAAGCTCGAACCAAATCGAGGGTTCTAAGCAAGATCGGGCTCACAGACAAAAGCCGTTGTAATCCCACTAAAGGGAATCTTGGCAGAAATTATGAAAAAGCTGATTTATCATGGGTTTCCCACTGAATGTTTATTTTATTATGCTTGGAGCCAAAACCCCTTCACTATAAAAGGACTTGTTTATCATTTTTGTAAGGCATCCATTGGAGGACTTACACTATCACAAATTGTATTATCCCATCTACAAGCAAGAGTGATCTTTCTAGTTTCTTAGATTGATTCTATTTTTGTTAAATCCTAAATTTCACTGTTCATAATTGATTGGCATAGATTACGTTTTTCTCCAACCTATATTCATACTTTTATTTATCCTAGCATTCTATATTAAGTTATACCACATATCTTCGGAACTACGCATAGATTCAACTCTATCCCTTTTTTTGGGTAAACAGTTTGGCGCCCACCGTGGGGCCGAGGATAATAGTGGTCACTTATTTCCGAAAACAACCTTCAATTCAGGTTCGGCTATGAATAGCCACCGACCAAATGGCTTCACCGACCGATTACGAAGTTGGCCTTCAAGATGAAACCAACAACTTGGCACTACCCGAGATTCGAGCCAGAATACCACTAGATGTTAATTCACAAATTGCTTTGGAAGCAAACCAGCGTTCCGAACCGGAAAGAAGTATTCAGGGCGGTGCTCAATCCGTAGCCCAAGACACCCAAAACCCGGAGGAGATCGGGGCCAGCTTACGCATGATCTTCGAGATGTTACAAGCCCAACAATTAGCAATAGCTCAGCTACAGAGCCAAACTCGGGCACAAAGCAGGCCGGTTTCCAACCCACTTCGAGAGGTCACCCCCAGAACAGAGCCTGCCATAGTAAAATCTAACGAGCAGGAATCGGGGACTAATCCTGGAATTACTAAACTGCTTGAGGAACTCACGAAACGAGTCGAAGCCAACGACAAGAGGGTGGAGATGTATAATGCCAGGGTCGATCAAATTCCGGTAGCTCCGCCAATGATAAAAGGGCTTGATTCAAAAAAATTCATACAAAAGCCTTTTCCATCGAGTGCGGCACCAAAGCCAATCCCCAAAAAGGTCTGTATGCCCGAAATTTCCAAATACAACGGTACGACCGATCCTAACGAATATGTCACCTCTTACACGTGTGCCATAAAAGGCAACGATTTGGAAGATGACGAGATTAAATCCGTGCTATTGAAAAAGTTCGGGGAGACCCTCTCGAAAGGAGCTACGATTTGGTACCATAATCTACCACTAAATTCCATCGATTCTTTTTCCATGTTGGCAGATTCGTTCGTA